AATTATTTGGACTGATATTATGTGGCAATGTCTACTGGAATTGTTATTTAGCTCCTTACCCTATTTTGGCGAATTTCATTCGCAATAGAGACTTCTTGTAATAACCTATTAAATATGGATCTTCTTTCGTTCTTCCAACTGGGAAGAAAAATCCTGTTTTCTTGTCATCAATATTCAAACATTAAAGTAATTGTAGGCACACAATAAATATAAAAATCCTTGTTCCACTGAAATATTATTATAATTGAAAATCTTCTTAATCGTTCTAACTGTGAAGATAATGCTACAGCAAAGGGTTAAAGGAAAATTATCGAGCTGCTTCTGCATACAGCACAATCATTGAGAAGCATATTTGCAATTGGCTGCTAGTAAATAAGATGACACTACAGATGATACTATATAATAATATATAATATATAATAATAATTGTTTATTATTGAAGACAATCGTTTGACCTAAATGGAAAATTCTGTCACCCTGTTATGACCGATTAGGTGTACCTTGCATTACTGCCTTCTATTTAAGCTCGATAAAGTAACTAAAAACATCGAACAACAAAGTTTAGGGAGCCGTTCCAAAAAGAAAGCTTCAATCCTTAAATCTATGTTAGGATCAGTCACGAAAACGATTTTCCAATGTAGTCACAGTCGTTTCAATCCGAGAAATTGTCAAGAAAATGCATCATCTCCGGTTTCACACCTGCTTTATTATGGAAAAACATGTAACAAGAAAATAAATGACACATAGCGAAAGTAGAAGCTTCAGGCTTGAAAATGAGTCCAGGTTTAGTAATGTACAACCCTTGTTTACTAGTTTAAATGTCGAGAATTGATCGAACATTAAAAATTCTGTTTAGACGTTCTGGAGCCATTTTATGTTTCGTACATATTCGAAAAGAATTGACGAAGTTTGACCTGTTTTAGGCACTAAATTTGTACGCGACCAAACTAGCTGGCGGCGTGTTGGACTCAACGTGAATATTGGAAGCCTTCTGCGTCGAAAAGAGATTAATGCAGATCACATACCCGAGTTGATGAAGGGTGAAAGAAACATCACGCGGACGACGAGACGGAGAACGAGATTATGAGGCACACGAGATCGTAGGATTATCCACATAGAAAATATTATGTGATAATTGTGCGAAAAAAAGGCGACTTGTGATACCTGGACCATTCTGATGATCTACTTGGCGGTCTACTTGTCTTTTCCTTTCGTTGGATGTTCGAATTCCGTTACAACATTATAGACTTATTAATTTCAACGGCTTTGTTAACGAAGTGTCACGTGTCGATTTTCATGAAACTGAGAGTTTGTCGAAGTAGTAAATCTTGAATGTTTTTACTTGAGTATTCTATTTCATGTCTAAAATTTATAAATACTCAGTGGTTGTAAATATAACGTCGTTCTGTTTTATTATTCTGCACTTTCTATATGGACGTGGTCTTGTTAGATTTTTAAGCACAATTTATATAGCCGAAGGATTTATCAATCATTGCAAACGGATAAATCTGAAAGATACAAAACGAGTTTTAAAACTCGCAGTGCTTAATATTTTATTCAATGAAAGAAATAAAGTTCGACGTTACAATGTTTGAATGCATAATAAGATAGAAATAATTCAATTCGCAGCATTTTAATAATCTACTAAAATATTTTATTAAATATATTTTTTTATTTTACTGAACTATCTTGTTAAAAATATTTTATCGCATTTTAATAATCTACTTTAAAGTTCTGCAACACATATATCTGTTTTATGAATTTATTCTCAACTGCAAAGTTATTATCTTTCATTGATTAATCTTATTCACGTCTTGATTACTATAGTAAAATATTCTTTTTGAAAACATAAATGCTTTCCTGTAGTTTTATAAAACATTGGTTCACAACATTTCGTATCCAATTCCCTTCAAATTATATGAAAGCAGTTTGCATCCTTTTTGTTTTTAATTTCATAACCGAAAGGGGAAGACAAAAAGCAAGGTGTTACCGCATCCAAATGAAAAAGACCAGAACTGAGAAACAGAAATTCATTTGTGATATCCAAAATATCTGTCGATATTGTTCAGCTTCTCATTTCTAAAGCCTCCACGATTTCGTAAATCTCTTTATATATTGTAGATTTCGTCTCCTTTGTCAGTATATATGTATTATATGTTATATGTATATTTATAAATAAAGTTAATTAAGCATAGTTTGAATATTTAACGTTGGTAGCTGGTAGGGTCATTTCAGAAAGGCTATCGCAAAAAACGATTTCTTTTTATATATATTTCGCAACTGGTATTGCATCGAAATTTTCGATGATAACAAAACGTCTTTCTTTTAATACTTTACATATGTATATAGATTTGGTCATCGTAATAGTTTGCACAATTTTTTGTGGAAACGACAAAGAGAGGGTTATATCCAGAACCA